CATCATCTAGTTGCAACTAGTTGCAGCTTATAAAATTTTGGAGTTGCAACGTGTTGCAACGGGTGACAAATAAGCGTTACATACTTGCTACGCCATCTCTATGCCTGACTAAATCCCAAAGCGTTGGCAAAAAAATTGTTGCATGATTTTATTAAATTAAGAATCCTAACGCTTTTTCAATGAAATGCAATTTTATTTCTAGAAAATATTTCCTATAATTTTGCTCTCTGATCAGAGAATGAAATTTGAAATTGGAAAGCAAAACTATATTATATGCACCAGGTATATAGATGGATAATTAGATCGGAGAAAATTTAACCAAACTAAATATACAAAATAAAAATCTAACAGGGGAACATGGGAGAACAATTAACTGAACTATTATTTATTAACGTATATTATAATATAAATGGTAGCGACGTTTATAAATATCTTAAATAGTGTGCATTCACATATTCTGATTTGGCATCACAAGGAATCTTCCAGCACATGATTTTTAAATCAGACCATCCATCTGATTGGATGATGAATATATACTTTTAGAATTAGCCAGTACATGATTTTTGCCATAGGACATCGATTAAGAATAGGAATCAATTCTCAACCCAGAATCGATTATAAAATTGATTAATAAAATCAATTAATCATTTTAAATAAATTTGATTAATCGATTGATTTTCAAGTAGATCTGTTCTACTGCTACGTATTTAATCAATTTCGTTCATGAAATTAGATATTCAGATGGAACTGATACGGTGAAAATTGTCAATATTTGCGTGCAATTTGTGAAAGAATTGGATAGGAATCGATTTTCAACCCAAAATCGATTCTCAAGCACAAAGTATATACGATGATGATGACAGTAATAATGACAATAACAGCGATATCATAACTGGTCTTTGGTTTGTTTTTCATTGTATATTGATTTTTTTTCCCTTTTCGTTGGAATAGTTAAAGTTATACTTTGATTAATTGAAGTTATAATTTGATTAGTTGAAATTATGCTTTGATTAGTTGAATTCGTAGAGATACTACGTAGTATAGAAGTATTGTTATCAGACTGAGATTTCGATCAATATTAGTTACTTTTGGCATTAGTATCACTATTAAAGTTATTAAATTTTATATTGACATGATAATTATTAATCTTAACATTTTTGTTAAAGATAGAGTACGTACGCTATATCATTTGTATGTTTTTCACACGTGAAAATCATGATTTCCAATCACGAACATGATTTATGCATTATCATTATCATTATTAATCAATTTTGTAAAATCGATTCTTAAATTTTCAAATATTAATCGATTCTAAGAATTGATTTCGATTCTACTATTACCGTCAGCGAACAAACTTCTCCAATTACAGTTTTTCGGGATAAACAGCAGAAGACGATTCATAAATATCACTAATGCTGGATGAATATATCTACAACGTTGTTAATTTTCAAAGTCAGTAGATCTTTTGGTTGATAACAAAAAATTGATTGATTGACTGTAACCAAAGTCGATTAATTAATTTCTGGTATAACATTCTATATTTAGTAATATCTAACATGCTAAAAATCAACCAAAGTCAAATTTTCAACTTAGATTTTTAGTTCAATAATAACGAAAATTATAAATTTAATAACCACGCGTTTTTCATTAATTACTATTTACATATATGTATATTAACTTTCTTTTTTAGTATATTGTACTAAAAATCAACTGAGCCAATTTTTTTCAAATCAACCAACTAGACCAAAAAATCGATTTTGGCCAATTTTTTGATTATTAGCCAGAATCACGATTGTCAATAATGTTGTTATTTTCCTAATCCAGTAGATTTTTCAGCAAATTCTCATTCTGAGTAACAATAATACAGTTGGTAGATATTATGTATAGGGTAACAACCGCAACAATTATCAATAATACAGTTAACTTTATAGTATAATGATAACAACTGCTAATTTCCATCGTTGTGCTGACAAAAACAACAAGCTTCCTTTTTCAGTAAATAGCACGAATCCTCATCAGTCTCCACGCCTTTTTACGTCAATTTGCAATATTTATCATCATTTTTCAGCGTTCTCCTTAGTATTTATTATTACCTTATGATATCTTTCAGCATCTTCTCATCATCTTTCGGCATCTTCTCATCATTTTTAGCATCTTTAGCATATTTTCATCAGTTTTCAATTCGTCTTACATCAATAATGTTAACGTTGTTCATTCTAAATTTTTTTATTAATAACCAAAGTAATATTAAAAGTAATAAACGTGATAACACAAAAAAATATATAAAAGAACAGTCTTCGGACTGCTAAAAAGATAAAATTAAATTCTTCAAGAGAATAAAATTGTGTACAATTCTTCTCCAAGCAAAATTAAACTTGAATTCTTGCGTACAATTATTCCTCCAAGTAAATTATTACTTGTAAAACTCTTCCTCTTCCTCCATTAATTGTTATATTATTTAACGATTAGATCCTTTGTACCAGAAAAGATATTGTTTTTCGTAAAATCATCATATTATTATTAAGAAACCACCTGAAACACATAATCTCTTTCCCAAATCAACATAATCAATGATATCTGTAGATATTAATCTATTAATCACTCCCAAAGTTTTTTTGCGGTATAAATATTCCAATTTGCTAAAACAAAATATAACCATACATTATTACAAAACTTATTTATATGTTATTTATATGTGATTTTACTTTATTATATATCATTTCATTTGTCTATATGCCATTTCATTTGTCTATATACCATTTTATTTGTCTATATTCTATTTTATTTGTCTATATACCATTTCACTTGTCTATATACTATTTCACTTTATTGATATGCTGTCTCATTTGTTTACATGTTGTCTCATTTGTTTATATGCCATTACACTTTTCTTATATGCGGTTTTACTTTATTTATATGCCATCTCACCCCTTTTAAATTTTTTATTAGCATAAAAAACCAAACTGTCAGCACATGATATTAAAATCTATAAAACGTTTATAAAAAGAAGATCAGATTCTTTGTAATAATAACTTATGAAATTCAGAAACTCACCAGCAAATAGGTTTGTAATTTGTTCATTTAACTATATTTCATAAGAATTTATTAATAAGCTTTTGTATAGTTTTGAAATCATAGAAAAAAGTAATGCCACAAGTTCTACTGGCAATATATTGAACCAATCAGCACTAGTTAAAGGAAAGGCACCTATGAAAAAAAAGATTATAAACAAAGGAGGTCAGCCAAGATCAATTGTTTGGAAACACTTTATCAAGGATCTACCTAATCAGTTTGGTTATTACGGAGCCATTTGCCAATACTGTAACCAATATTGGTTTAGAGAAAAACTAACTATTATGGAAAGTCATCTCGCATTATATTGTAAAAAAGTACCAGACAATGTCAACAATTTATTCTTATGGTTAATTGAGAAAAAGCTGAAAAGTTAGTGGATGAAGATAATATAGATAATAATATTCTCTTAACAATCAACAAAAAGCGTAAATATATTAGTAAACAAGCAACTCTTGATAGCTCCTTCAAATCTACAGAACCTGTTAATGAAGATCGTAAAAAAATTATTGATCATGCTTTGATTAAGACCTTTGTTTGTTGTGGAATTCCATGAGAAATTATTGATAACCCTTTTTTTATCAATCTTTTAAGAATTTTGAAGCCTGGTTATGAATCACCACATCGACATACTCTTTTTGGATGACTTTTAGATGAAGAACATGTATTAGTAATAGTTAAAATTACAAAAGCTCTTACAAATCAACAAAACTTAACTTTGGTATTGGATGGCTGGTCAACACCAATAAATGATTCATTATACAATTGTATTGTAGTAACACCTGAATGAAAAGAATATCTGGTCACCATTGAAGATTACTCGACAGATTCTCAAACTGGCATTTATATGGCAGACAAAATAAGTACGATTATTGAAAAAATTGATTCATCAAAAGTAATCACTTTAGTTACAGACAATGGTGGAAATGTCTGAGTTGCATAACAAATTATACATGAAACTTATCCACAAATTATGAATATTCGTTGCATTATCCATGCTCTAAACTTAATTTTAACTGATTTGATTAAATTAGAACTTATCAAAAAAACATTGATCAATGCTAGTATTATAATTAGCTTTTTTAAAACTTCTCATACTGCTGGTTATTTATTACAAAAAGAAATCAAAAATAGCAATATTCATGGTGGAAATTTGGAAACCTTTGTAAAAACCAGATGGGCATCAGCTTTTAATACAACCAATTCTCTTGTACGTATCAAACCAATTTTTGATAAAATTTTAGAAGAAAATTGAAATATAATTACAAATGAAACAGTTTTATACTTATTAAAAGATGATGAAGATACTTTTTCAGTACTTGCTGTTGAATTGCCACTATTTTTCGTCCAATCAAAGAGATAATTGATTCTTTAGAATCAAAAATAGCTAATTTTGCTGACTGTTTCATTGGATTAGCCAAATTAATTGCAACAATCAAGAGAATTCCTTCTAGCAATTCTATAAAAATACCAGCTATTAAAATATTTAATAATTGATATACTAAATTTGATATAGATATTTATACTTTGGCATATTATTTTCATTCTCAATATCATGGTCATGGCTTGAAAATGGGAAAATTCATTGAACTTTGCAAACTTTATCTCAAAATATATTCTCAACAATTTCATGATGAAATCGAATGCAAAGAATTAATGAGCCAGCTTTGTTGATATAAGACTAAAGATCCATCATTTGATTTTCCCTATGAAAACATTTTTCAGATGTCAATGATGTGGTGGAATGTCATTGATGATAATTATCCTCATTTACAAATAGTTGCTAAAATGATTTTTTCAATTACTTCTTCTCAAGCTTCTTGTGAACAAAATTTTTCCATTCTCAAATGGTTTTGCAAAGATAACAGAACTCGTTTAAATACCTTAAAATTAGAAGCAATGGCAAAAATTCATTCTTGGTATTTTTCTAATATTACTAAAGAATTACAATATTATAATAAGGAATTATCATTGAAAGATCTTTTTCAAAGTGCATTAGAA